CTAAAACTGACAGGATGTTTACTCTTCCATGCCTTATTGTTTTCAAAGTGTTTTTAACTTGTATGTAGCTTTACAGCGTTTTTGCTGTGATAGCAAGAAACCTTATTTATCAAGTGGAAATACTGTATCAATGTATTTACATTTAAAATGAACCACTCTCCACACCTTTTTATTTAAGAAAATTTATTGAAATCCAGAAATCGTGTATAGATATATATTAAATATTTTTCTTTGATATTTTAATGTTTAATTATAAAAGAAACAAAACGGAAGCCTCTTTAAAACAAAGAGGTTGTTGGCAAATACACGAGAAGTGATTGACTTTTCTTTAAGTATATATTTCTTTTTCTTTGAAAATAGCTACCTGCTGTCTATAACTGTGTATGGTATTAATCACTAACATAAATTGTTTATTTTTAAAAGCCAGATGCCTTTCTCTTCTGCCAGAAGGGTGCACAAAGAATCTCAAATGGTTTTTGTTTTGTTTTTAATACATGGAACCAATGATTTATTCTTGACTTCATTATATTCCTACATGAATGCTTCTTACTAGCTTTCCATGAAGATGAGTTTGTAAGAAGTGCAATGGGGCATATAGGAGATGATTTGTTGTTGACCAGAAGGCTGGTGATTGAAGGCTATGAAATATGAGGCTCATCTAATAACTGTGCAGAGTAATGATATGCAAAGAAGTTTTTCACAAACACGGGAATCTCCAATGTAATGCAACACTCAGTATATGCTCATTCATCAAGTAGTCTTCAAATAACATTAGACAGCAATACATTCCTGACAAGCTGAATAAATGTCTTCATACAAGTTTTCAAGACCTATTGCCCCTTTTTTTTTTTACATAAACATCAGCATAGTGAAGTATTGTATTAACTGCTGATTTTACATTTTGTGTCCTCCAATTTTTTTTTTTGATGTTTAAGTGATTTGAACTTTAACATGTGATGTCAGAGCATAGGTGCATCAGAAAGAAGCATAACAATCAATGATTTTCACTGATGGTTTTCCTTTCTTTTAGGTCTAACAGAACTAGTGTCTTCAGTGCCAGTGCTACCCTGCACTAAGCTTGTCTCCTCCCTCTTCTGTCACTTGACAATAGTGTGTTGGAGAGGTCAGACAACAGCTACCAATTATAAGCGTGTACCTTAATTCACTATCAATTGCATGGCTAATGTTTAAAAATTGATTTTTGAACTGATCTTTGAACCATGGGCAGAGGCGTAACTAGAACCTTCAAGGCCCTACGGCAAGAAACCATGAAGGGCCCCCCTAACCGGGGCCCTTTACAGTACATCAGATTCTTAAGGGTTCCTCTTTACAGTGCAAGGGGAAACTCTGCGGACCATTACATAAGGGGGAATGCTGTGGATTCTGATGTAAAGAAGAACTCTTACATCACAGTTCCCCTTTACATCAGATTCCTCAAAGTTTCCCCTTGCATTGTAAGGGTTAATGCTGGGAGGAGCTCTGGTGACCAGAGACCCCCTTTATATCAGATTTCTCCTTTACCTTCATGTATTCACTCGACTCTGGTGTAAAGGAGTTCACTGATATAAGGGGGGGCACTTATATTAGCATCCCCCCTTACCTTAGGCTCTCCACTCCCCCTTACAATTAGTGACCCCGAACAGAGTGACTGCCCCACAGACTGTGTGGCCTGGAGCTGTCACAAGCTGATCTGTAATTGCCCGAGGGCTTAGGCTTTTTGTCCTCCTTTCCCCCTGTGCCCCTTCCTTCCAGTCTCTTTCAAATTAGCGGGAAAGGTGTCAAGCGCCATGGCATCACCACACACCTGACCTACGGGTTAAGACAGAGCCCAGCTCAGCCAATTATTAATTGGCCAGCTCTGGAATGGTGCATGCACCATTCTGGAGCCAGTCGTTAAGTAATCGGGTGAGCTTGGCAGGGTGGTCCGCTGGTCAGGTGTGTGGTGGGGTTATGGCACCTTTCCCATGAATGTAAAAGCAACTACAAGGAGAGGGCATTGTGGGGGAGCTTGGGAGAGCTGGCTTCAGCCTCCTTTCCCCCCCACACACCCACGGTGGCAGAACACTAGGACCCGGTCCCAAGTGTAATGCTGGTACTTCCACTGCTGACCATGGAGTTTCACCAAAAGCCTGTGGGTAGAAAGAGTTGATGGAACCCTGCAATAATAGAAGTATGCAGACTGTCATCACTGACCATCTTCTGAAAGTGCTAGTTATATGGCTGTCTGTGGTTTCAATACTGTAAACCACTGACTTGGAGTTCACATGAAGATCAGTTAAAGCTAAGAACTTCTAATTAGTATACTTGTTTTGGAAAAGTAATGGAGCAGCAGCATGATAGCCATTGAGCTATTGTTTCTGGATGCAAAGGTTCACAAAGGCAGCTTCCTCAGCACTGGGTTTCTTTAAAGATATTTGCTTGACTGGGTGAAATAAAAGGTGAGTGGAGATATTTGCAAGTACATTGGTGATTTATGGAGTAAAATGATAATGAGGGAATATAGGTAACAGCATTGTCTTTCCAGATTTGTAGGCTCCATGGCTTGCACAGCAGTCAGTAAAAACAATGGATCCCTGTTAGCTGCCTACATCTCGTTTAATCTTTACAGGTTCCTAATCCAGAAAGCTCTTGTCTGCAAATCTGTACAAGCACACCTCTGGCAGAGGAAAGGTGAGTGTAACAGAACCTTCCCATATTCCATATTAATGTAACAAAGTAATGGCTCCAGCATGGCAAGTCTATTCAGTCAGCTTGCTCCCTGAATGAGACGCTTCTGTTGGTGAAATATAGGGTTCCTGTGCACATAGGAATAAAGCATAATGCTAGCTGGATATTACACCGCTGATCTGAAATTCAGCAACAATAAGGCACTCTCCAATATGAGTGTCTGCATTGCACAACCCATGCCAAGGCAGTGCCTTATTGCAACAAGGAAAGCGCAGAATCTGAAATCGGCATGAGGCTGCAGTTATGGCATGCCCCATGTTACAGACGCCTCTTCATAGCGGACAGTATGGGGCCCCCCCAAGGGTCATACCTGTTGTTATGACTCCATTGGGGAAGTGAAGGCACAAGGACAATAAATGTTACATAATATTGCTTATGCAGGCAAGCCAGACTGTACTTGCCTTAATGTCCCTCTAGCTAACCACACGCAAACATACACTGGGTGCAATGAAAGGTGTATCCTAATATATCATGTGCTTTCAAACTCAAGTGACAACTATTAGAGAAATAATTAACCCCGTAAAGAATTTTCTAAATAATAAATTGCCCTTGACGCCCTGGCAACAAACAAGAGGACATTCTTTTCTGCATCTGAGGGACTCTGTCTTCGTGCATCTGTCTTCAGCACATAACACTTGAAGGACGCAGAACATTGGTGATAAAATGGAGTACAGACAAAGCAGGTGCCTTATTGCAAGGGGACAGGTCAGTCCTGTCCTGTTAGAAGAGGACACTTGGCTTCTGTGTCAGGGGTTTTAATATCAGCCAATACACCAGTTATCGATAATCATTGCTAAAAGATCTGCAGAGGTGTGTGCTGTATTTTTAACTATCATTTGTCTGCTTGGAAATGAATGACCAGTAACTAGATAGGGGGTCACAATACTAATACCAGTTAGCAAAGCGGATAATGACTTTTTGAGGATAAAGATGTATCACTCCTTAGTCTACAGTTGGTCCGACAGAATGCAAAAGAAGAAATAATGGTATTGGTTGCGCTACAAAGGGCGTATGAAGTCCAATAGAAATACTGACTGATTCACGTTTAACTGCGTGTTGCAGTCTTCCTATAGTATGAGCGGAGGTTGTGGTTTATTTGATCATTTTTTCACTGCATTAATTTCATTTCTTTTTTTAACAACCTCAGAAAATATGTACCTTTTTAATTGGTGTATGTCATTCTGCAGATCTCTAGCAATGAGGAAGGTCATAGGTTACTAGGTAATTTAGAGTGGAAAGGCAGTTCCTCTCCACCAGCGCCACTTGCTTTGAACACAAATTCTGAAGACCCCTTTTGTGGCAAAGTGGTGTAGCCTGTTAGATCTGAGCTTCCACCTCTGGGAAATAAAGTAAAGTCAGGTGTAAACTGTTGCGGAAAATGGGGTGAGCCTGGTGCTGGCTGAGGGAGGGAGGGTTGGGACACAGAAATTGGTCGACCATCTTGCCTTAGTCGGCTTAGTGGTAGAGAGATGCAACTGCTGGGATGAGAGGAAATGGGAGCGGTTTGAGGAAGGAGAAGCGACCGTGAAGAACCACACACCTGAGCGGTTCGAACTGGGCCTGGGCTGAGTGCTGTAGGCGAACTAGCAGGAGAGTCTAATCTCTGTAATGGAGGTGGTAATACCCATAGTGGCTCTGATGCTCCAGGCAAAGGGGGACCTGGTGAATTGGCTTTTGGGGCTTGACATTGTCCAGAAGAGACAGCTGGGAGCTGCTGATCAGATTGTGATAGTCTTGGTTGACTAGATGAAGAACGTGCTCCTGGAGACCACTGGGAGGTGTCAAAAGCAGCTGGAGTGGAGGAGGTGGGGAGCCGCTGCTGTGTAGAACCCTTTTCAAAACAGGGCACAGTAGAGGGCGGTCTTGGGCTTACACAGGCTGCAGCTGAATAGCCTGCCAATTGATGTACATGAAAAGAAGATTGCTGGTTTAGTGATCCCTCTGCTGTTAGATGTGAGGAAAAAGGCTGTCTCTGCAGCTGTTGGAATCCTCGTGCTGATACACCCAATGCAGAGGATGAGGGTCGGAAGATATTGGCTGGCAGACGCTGGTGAGTTAAAGGTATAGCAACTGATGTGGTGGCCGCTGCAGCCTGTAAAGGAGCCTGGACCAGTGGTGTCCATATTACAGGAGTTGGAGGAGTTGGTATAGAGTCTCCCTCCGACTGGGAGCAACGTGGCCTTTGCGCCATTTCACGATCATGCTGAACAATCTGCTGAATGATTTCATTCTCCTGGTAATTCAGCACCCCAGAACGAAGGTCATGTTGGACTTTATGTAGGAGGAGAGAGTTCTTTTTGCCTTAGAAAGAAAAAAAAAAAATTCAGTTGTGCACATACAAGTAGAACACCAATTACCATCAAGTATCACTATTTTTGCAGCCTTTCTAAAAAAAACTTTTGCTCATTTATGATTCTTTTCTGATTTACAAGGCAAAACTCTTCCCTAAAAAACACAGTGCTACCTTGATAGGATGCTTGCGGTTTTAAAAAAAAAAATGTATATGCAAACATTCCATATCATGACAGGTACAAAGATGTTTGAATCTGTAAAAAAGTGTTTTTCCTCAGATCAGCCCTTAACATCCACTCTACAGTTCACTCTCTATAGACCACCTACTCTGGAAACATAGTCACACTCTTCAAGCTTAACCCAGAAAAGGCAAGCAGACTGCAATGGACTAATCCCCCTAGTACTGCTGGTGTCTAAAATGTCACTTTTAGAGCTCAGTTCCACTTTAAATAATAGGCAATAAAGTAATAAATGACAGACCTATTTATCAGATATACTTGCAGTTTAACCAGAGGCAACCTTAGGTAGGCCTCTGTACACAACATGGAATATACTGGACTAACGCTAACTAAGCCTGATTTAATGTACATTTTGGGGTGGTGGAGTTTTTTTTTTTAGTGACGGTTCACAATGCTGCAGTGCGAATCTGATGCGGTTTCACAGTGCGGTATCACATTGCGATTACTGCTGACAGGTGTGAATTGAATGCAATTTCTGAGGGGAATGGGCATAGCAGGAGACAAAATTCGCACCACACCCCGCACTAAACTTATACAGGACCCTTTTTTCAACCACATCAAATTTGCACCGCATGTATGTGAACAGGCCTCATTGGAAATAACGATTTTCTACATTACATGCGAATCTATGCTTTTCTGAATGCATCGGATCCGCATAGAATACGCAGCAGTGTGAACCGGCACTAAGACTCATTTTAGGGGTTAGGCCAATCATTCTCAACCAAGGTTCCGTGGAACCTTAGGGTTCCTCTAGGGTCGGCTTGAGCTGTGGCTAACCTTCCATCTGATGGTGCCTGCATAGTCCCAGGTCTAATGCCGTTTGGCAGAGCCAGTGCCATGACTGCTAGGGTGTCATTCTGGCCACATCTGTAAGGATGACATTCTATCCAGTTACAACAACGAATGTAAGGATAATTTTCCCAATGAACCCCAATGGGCTACTCTTACCAGGGGTTCCCTGAGATATGAAAGTTAGCTCAAGGATTTATCTGGGATAAAAATGTTTAGAAAGCCTGAGTTAGGCTAAGTGTTAAGAGTTCAGGCTGAGGCAAGGTTTAGACTAGGATCACACTGCTGTACTGCAGGAACGTGCACTGCAACATGCAAAAAATACATGTTTGCGCAGTGCCATTCGTTCTTAATAGCACTTTTATGCACTTTCACAATGGACATGCATTGCAATGTACAGCAACACAACTACTGTGCGTTGTGGTGAGCTACTTAACAAAAATTAGCACATAAACCTGTTTGGTGAACTTTGATATGTTGAATGAGCTGTCTTAGCACAACGCACATGCATTACTGCACCAAAGATGTGTAGGGTCAGGCTTCGTGTTAAAATGACCCTATCACAACAAGGTCACTTTTAGTCAGCAGGCTATCTACAGTGAGGAACAGCAGTATTTGAACACCCTGCGATTTTGCAAGTTCTCCCACTTAGAAATCATGGAGGGGTCTGAAATTCACATTGTAGGTGCATTCCCACTCTGAGAGACAGAACTTAAAAAAAAAAATGCAGGAAATCACATTGTATGATTTTTAAAGAACTTATTTGTCTTGCACTGCTGAACATAAGTATTTGAACACCTAAGAAACAGCAAGAATTCTGGCTCTCAAAGACCTGTTACTGTGCCTTTTTAAAAAGCCCACCTCTACTCCACTCAATCTAACTTAGTAGCACCTGTCTGATCCCTTTAAAGACACCTGTCCACCCCACAGTCAGTCAGATGTCAACTACTACCATGGGCAAGACCAAAGAGCTGTCAAAAGACACCAGAGACAAAATTGTGGACCACCACAAGGCTAGAAAGGGCTACGGGGCAATTGCCAAGCAGCTTGGTGAAAATAGATCAACTGTTGGAGCAATTGTTAGAAAATGGAAGAGGCTAAAGATGACTGTCAGTCTGCCTCGTACTGGGGCTCCATGCAAGATCTCACCTCGTGGGGTATCACTGATGATAAGAAAGGTGAGGAATCAGCCCAGAACTACAAGGGAGGAGCTGGTCAATGACATGAAGAGAGCTGGGACCACAGTTTCAAAGGTCACTGTCGGTAGAACACTACGCCGTCATGGTTTCAAATCATGCATTGCACGGTTCTCCTGCTCAAGTCATCACATGTCCAGGCCCGTCTGAAGTTTGCCAATGACCATCTGGATGATCCAGAGGAGGCATGGGAGAAAGTCATGTGGTCAGATGAGACCAAAGTAGAACTTTTTGGTCTAAACTTCACTCGTGTTTGGAGGAAAAAGGATGAGTTGCATCCCAAGAACACCATCCCTACTGTGAAGCATGGGGGTGGTAACATCATGCTTTGGGGGTGCTTTTCTGCGAAGGGGAAAGGGCGACTGCACTGTATTAAGGAGAGGATGAATGGGGCCATTTATTGTGAGATTTTGAGCAACAACCTCCTTCCCTCAGTCAGAGCATTGAAGATGGGTCGTGGCTGGGTCTTCCAACATGACAACGACCCAAAGCACACAGCCAGGATAACCAAGGAGTGGCTCCGTAAGAAGCATATCAAGGTTCTGGAGTGGCCTAGCCAGTCTCCAGACCTAAATGCAATAGAACATCTTTGGAGGGAGCTGAAACTCCGGGTTGCTCAGCGACAGCCCCGAAGCCTGACAGATCTAGAGGAGATCTGTGTGGAGGAGTGGGCCAAAATCCCTGTTGCAGTGTGTGCAAACCTGGTCAAGAACTACAGGAAACGTTTGACCTCTGTAATTGCAAACAAAGGCTTCTGTACCAAATATTAACACTGATTTTCTCAGGTGTTCAAATACTTATGTTCAGCAGTGCAGGACAAATAAATTCTTTAAAAATCATACAATGTGATTTCCTGAATTTTTTTTTTTAATTCTGTCTGAGTGGGAATGCACCTACAATGTGAATTTCAGACCCCTCCATGATTTCTAAGTGGGAGAACTTGCAAAATCGCAGGGTGTTCAAATACTTCTGTTCCTCACTGTATAGAAGAAGAATTTATATACTTAAATTTCCATGGCCCATATATTGAAAAGCTCCTCAGCCTGTAGTGTGCAAGGAAGTGAAAGGAACAACAGTTACTAGAGGAGTATCAAGTATTCTACACACTGGGAAGTGTAGAATACTTGCATAGGCTGGGGGGAACGTCAGCTTTTCAACACACAGGCTACCGAGAGGTAGGTATAAACTGTTTTTTCTTTTTCTACAGGTGACCATGTGGTGGCATAAGTTATAGGTTCAGGTAGGGTGAAGATAAATTCTTTGAACACTTAGCAACATAGGAGCAAATATGGGAGCTGCAGGGCTTACATGTGTTCTCTGCACTAAGTTCAACAGAAAAAAAATGAAATCTGAGATTCTGGTACATATTTCTCTCCATACAGGGTCCCATTTATGCCCCTTTCACACGGACATTCTGATCAAGTCCGCCTGCCTGTTTTTCACACAGACCTGATCAGAACCTGTTTTCACCTCTATGGAGCTGCAGGTTTACACCTGCCGACATCCAATCTGATCTGCAAAAAAAAATGATGGGGATGCGTTCCCATTCTTTCCGTTGGGTCAGATGGAAACGGACAGGCAGAATGCCCATAGAGGACAGCAGGCTGTGTCCATATCTGCTCTACAAAAGCATAGCAGGCACGGACCTGTCATCCACTTGCTCACTGGAGATCAGTAGACCGATCCCCCGCTGAGCAAGCCTATCCGCTGATGGGTCCACCCTTGTGAAAGCGGCTTAGAAAAATAGTTGGCTGACAAATTCCCCTACATTTCTTTGCCATTTGTTGCCATTTATGTTGAAAGTGATTGGAATGAGTGCTGCTTGTGGGTTAAATGGAAAAATAAGGAACAATCCTTATTAATAAGGAACAATTGATTCTGGCAAGTTATGTTCTGTGCAAAACAAGTCTCAAACAAATATGCAGTATGCAACGTTGATATATCCTTGCTTTCCACCAGGGGGCAGTGACAGCAAGAGCAAGTTACAATTATAACTCATTAATCAATGTGATTGCTGTAAATGAAGCAAGTGGATTTCTACTTCCAAGATAATCAGTAGCTCCATTTACCTATGTAGTGCACTGATTATGTAGTCCATACATGACTCAAAACAGTCCATGTTGCCTAATCTGGCCATGATAGGGCTGGATGTGTGGGGTGCAGGCCCAAGAGGACTATTGTAGTTGTACAAAGACTACTTCTTCATACTCTCTAATTTCTAGTTGCCAGTTGTTCCATAGTTATCTTGTTTACTTCTCCTGTTTGCTGCATTATACAATAGTAAATATAGACACACTGACCACCCCCAGGTTCTTGACTGTTGCCCGATATCCCTTTGTATTCATCTTTTGTGAAAAAATTGATAATTGATTCTACCTTAATCATACAGTACAGGACACAGGCAGAATATTCATACAGCATGGGTTGAGACATGGACCTTCAGGTGATTGGATACTGGCAAAGTTTTAAAAGGAAATACCCCTTAGGCTCTTCTCCCATAACCTTATTCCACTCCATGAGTCCTCCGTTTTGTGCTGTTGCCTGAAGATGATGGACCTTTTCTTCATGGAGAAAATCACCCTCAGCCTAACTAGTCTATTCAAGAACTCTTCAACTAAACATCTCAACTTGGAAAAAGCAGACTCCTGTTCTTGATTTACCCATGCTCTGGTCCAGTCAAGCAAGGAATTCCTTAACAGGTCCAGTCCTTCCTTCCATATTGCTGAAAACATCACAACAGAAGCAAGACTCTCAGGCTGGGTAGGAGTGTTCCAGTACTTAACAG